CCCGCACCACTCGCTTTCCCAAGTGTGGACTTCCCTCTGGACCCTGCCCTTGTTCATTCTTCAGTGCCTTCTCATCACTGTTGAGTTTTTTATTTTTGTTCTTCTGATTTTGTCCAGAGCTCACAGATGCTGCCTGTGGGAAGGTCGAGTCCAGTAGAAGCGCTTCAGCTGCCTGGAAGTGGACACTTACTTATATAAAACATTTCAGAAGTAGTTAAGACCCTTTTATTCCTCTCCTTTATGAGGAATTTGGTATGTGTCCTTCCTGTTTTTTTTAAATCATGTTGCTACGTATATTCAGAAAGCATATTGTTCAGTTCGTGAACTATATATAGGATTGGAGACATGTGAAACAGTGGTAGCGCACTATGCTGCTCATTCTGCGACTTCTCTCCATCCCAGCACAGTTTCTGGGGATCTAACCTTGTTGAGCAAGTTTATCCATGGCTGTCGCAGGGCACCACTCAGTCACAGGGATGGGACTTTCTCTGCCTTCTCTTCTATCGCTGGACATTCAGGCTCTGACATCCCTGTACCTACCTTTCTGGTTATTTGCCTAGACATATAATTGCTGGGTCAGCTTCAACTTTGCCAACTAGATTGTCTTCCAAAGGGATGGTACCGATTCACAGCTCCACCCGCAGGATATAAACATGGCCACACCTCAGAATAGTAACAGTGGTGATCCATGGTGGTGACATTTCAAGCGCTCTTCATTTTTTTTTTTTACATTTTTGGTCATTTAATTCCCCCACCCCAGCCACCAAGCAGTTATTGTTCTTACAAAATAGGAATGCTTTTTGTCAGTGACCCCACAGCAGTTCGCTCTTCCTCTCCACCCTGTCCGTCTTGGGAAGACACCACCCTCAATAGCACCGCCACCCTCAGTAGCTCACGTCTGAAGCCAGAAAACTGGGGGGTGCCCGTGACTCTGTCTGCTGTCTCCTGTATCCCTTCTGGCATCCGTGCAGGCTGCCTACACTGCTCAACTCTAGAACACTTATTTTGTGCATTTGTTTTCTCCCCGACTATTCTACAAGCCCCTTGAGGGCAGGAAGTATATTCTCATCTCTGTAATTGCAAGACTGGCACCACCTGGCACAAAGCAGGTGCTTAAGAGCAACGGGGAATTTCAGAGAGGCTCCCGCTTCCTCGTTATACAAACGAGAAAGGGCTCAAAGGAACTTACCCGCATCACACACCCGCAGCAGGCGACAGAAACCCAAGCTGAGCCTTCTGACTTTGAATGCCCGTGGGGTGAAATGACTTGCCTAGAGTCACACAGCTGTGAGTCTAACAGGTAGCAGAAGTGGGGCGCTCAGTCTTTGCTCCCCACAGTGATGGCAGCCTGGCTCTCTTCAGGGTAGACCAACCACTTGCTTTGCTTCAGACTTTGATGTCCTGGACAAGATTCAATAATTGTGGGTACCAGCTCCAAGTTCTGGGCAGCCTGCCTAATCTCTGGAGTCACTTAAAATCTCCGTTGTTTCTGCAAAGTGAATGTTTGGACAATGTATCCCGTGTGTCGTGTCAATAGAGACACCCTGGAGCCCTCATTCTGCATCACGTTTCGTTGTTTTAAGCTGAAATGCGCCACATGTGCTTCCAACACGTTACCACCGGAGTTGCTTTCTTCTGCCATGGAAATGATCGGGAAGTTGTGCTCTGACACCGGGGAGGGCTGCAAGGCCAAGCTGTGCTGAAGTGAGGATGCCACAATTATCACTTGAAAGGGAAACGGTTATCAAAGCAGCCACAGAAGAACGTCTTAGGGCCACCTTGCAGAGGCAGAAAATTTAAGACATATATTTCACAAATGTGCGTCGCACTGTAAACCTTTCTGCATAATGCATGAGATTTGATTTAATGTTGTTGTTAATTCTGCTGTTCACAGCGGTGTGCTCTTAAGGGAGCCATCATTTTTATTTCAGATTTTTTTTTCCTGGCAACAGAACTCTGAGGCTGTTTTAGGGTGCTGAATTGTTTGGGTACACGACACCTTCTTAGGGGCAGGGGAGCAGACACAGGGCAGCTCTTCCAGGGGCTGTGGCCAGATGGGCTGTTAGCAGGTCACCCACTTGGGTCACCCACTTAGCTGGTCTGGGCTCCCTGGGCCTGGCTGCAGCTGGTCAGAGCTAGAGGTGGTGTTTCACAAAAAAAAAGAAAAAGAAAAAGAAAAGAAAACGGCTTTGCAGGAGAATAGAAAAGAAATGGAACAATGATTACTTTTCAAGATGCACAAGAGAATCATCTGGCCTAGGCTCACTGCAAGGACACAGCAGAAAAGAAAGGACTGTGCAAGGCGAGGGCAGTGGAAAGAGAACCAGGCAGAGGGCAGTGACCAGGGAGGAGGGAGGAGCCGGGAGGAGGGCTGGGATCACAGGCCCTGATGGCTCCCCAGCGTGCCCGGGGCTCGGGCTGGAGCCCTGGGGTGAGGGCACAGGCAGTGACTGTCCAGCTCTTACGGCAGGTGCCGGGTGAGCAGGGCGGCTGCCCAGGGTCCCAACAGGCTGTGTGCTCCAGGGCCATTTGCAAACTGAAGCCTTCTGCTTAGGGCAGCTTGCACCTGCTGAACAGGTGTGCAGGGTGGGCCACACAGATCAAGGAGCATGGATGGGTCTGTTCCGGCCACCTGAGGGGCTAACAAACCTGTTTTAAAGCCAATGATCTACGCAGCTCCAGTACAACCAGGAAATTTCCAAAAAACCGTGTGGCAGCAGACTAATCTTGATATCTACACTGGGTTGTTTGCTTTCCAAGAGGGAAAAGACATGGAGGTTAAAAATCCAAGAGGTGCAGTGAGGCTGATTCTAGCTCAGGCCTCATGATTTACAGAGCTGGAGGGGAGCAGGCAGTGGGAATCCTCCCCCGATTGCACAGATGGGAAGACAGAGGCCCAGATCTCTCCCGTGGGCTCCCACAGTTTCATGCAGGTAGAGCACAGGGCTGCACTGGCCTGCACCTTACCGGCTGTGTGACTTTAAGCAAGTTCCTCTACTTCTCTGGGCCTCCAGGTCTGCACTTCTAGACTAGGAATGAGGAAATCAGAGAAGACACATAGGCCTTCCTGCCCCAGAGGGAGAAACTTCATCAGGTAGGATTACTACTGTGGCCTCTCCCCCACGGCCCTCTCTCTCCTCCTTTGGAAAGAGGAGGGAATATTCTGATTAGCACACCTGGGAGAGGGACCAGCCCATTCTGCTCAGGGGTCAGCTGCCTGCAGAACAGTGGATTCTAGCCCAGCCTGGCTGGGAGCCAGCACCCAGGTGGTGAGCTTGTCTAAGGCAGGGTGACTAGTGGGCAGACACCCTTGGCCATGGATCTAAGGCAGGTGTCCGGCCAGCTGGAGGTGGACATCTTGACCCTTACTTGGGGGCTCCTGAGCCTGCCTCCCTTGTAATGTTCTGAGCTCTGGTAGGGAAGGGGGGTTTTATTTAAGCCTCAGCCAAGAATACCTATCCCACTGGCTCTGTGCCACCTGTATTCACTGTCCTCTGACCCCTGCAGAAGGGACCCAGCTAGCCGCCCTCTCCCAAGGAAGAGGCTGTCTTTCTCCTTGCCATGGGAGGACGACAGCAGGGACTCCGCTCCCAGTACCCGGGGACCCAGATCCAACTCCTCTCCTCCTGAAACTTTAGTAGGATCCATGTCCTTACTAACTGAATAGCCAGGACTTGGGGGAGCTGGGCTATCACCTGGGCACGGGGCAGAATCAGGGTCAGAGAACCACTCAGAGAAAGGAAAACGCTCCTGCTCAGAACCGTCCTCAGCACGGTGTCGTCCATTTGCAGACACATGCCCCTTCCTCAGAGACAGAATGGCAGGACTACTCACCAACGGACCACGGGTGGGACTGACCTGGAGCAAGGTGCCCACACCCTCCAGGTTCCAGAGTGGAGCTCTGGGTGGCTCCAAGGACCCACATGGGCACCCGGGCCACGGCTCAGATGGGTCAACACCCCCAGGCATGGACAGCCCAACAGGGCACCCACAGTGGACATCTGTCCTTGGCTCCCTTCTCGCTGCAGCAAGAGCTTGGGGAGCTTGGCAGTGACTGGCACATGCTAACCTCTGTAGAGGGTGGCAGGCCTGTCACTAGGGTGTTATTAGTTTGGTGTTAGGGACTGAATGTTTGTGTCCCCCAGGTTCATTTGTTGAAGCCCTACCCCCAGTATTTGAAGATGGGGCCTTTACAGAAGTCATTGAGGTTAAATGAGGTCATGAGGGTGGGGCCCTGACCCAACAGGATTAGTGTCCTCAGCAGACGCCAGAGGGTTTGCTGACTCTCTCCTTGCCCTGGGAGGACACGGCTGGGAGGCGCCCAGGAATTGGGCTGGCACCAGAACCTGACCTGCTGACACCTCGCTCTTGGCCTTCCAGCCTCTGGGACTATGGCAAGTGACCGTTTAAGCAGCAGTCGTGACGGCAGCCCGAGAAGACAGACACATCTGGGGCACTGCCCTGCCTTCACCCCCACCCCACATGGGGCACAGGGCTCAGGCCCAAGTCAAGCAGTGTGTGCCCTGGTCACAGCGACTGGTCCAGGCTGGGCAAGCGACCTAAGCTTGTCTAGTCAGGGTGAATCTGGGGGCTTTTTTCTGGGAGAAAGCTGAAGGGTCAGCCCACCAGAGACTGCAGGGCCAGTGTGACCCAGCCGTGGCTGTGAGATGTGCTCTGGTCCATGGGGCACGATCGCACACCACCAGCCCCAGCCTGAGAAGTGCTTGTGCACACCCCTGCTTTTGCATGGCAAGCAGCTGCTCAGCTACTACAGGGGCTCGCGACGCTGCGGGACAGCTGAGTGCTCCCCCTGAGCACCAACTGGGGCGGGAAACCACGCGCCCATAGCAGCAGACGCTGGACACCAGGTCCTCGCCAATCAACTCCCGGTTCCGGTCAGGCCGCACTGGGTCATGACGCAGCAGATCCTTTAACTTATCTCAGCCCACAGCTCAGGGTCGACGGGAAGGGCCAAAGCACCAGAACCACGGAACTGTTACTAGAAGGATCCCTAGAAGTTCGTTTAATGGCAAGTTGACAAAACACACGAGCACACAGATGACTTTAAGGCAACATTCCAGCACTAGTGGAGTCTCCCGGCCGCTGCCAGGGGTTGGGGAGGCCCGGCAGGTGGGTGAGGCCTCCGGAGGGTCTGTCTTGGGCACAGCCGCTGGCCAAGGGTGGGCCCCGCTCCTCCGCCCTGGCGGTGCACCGGCTGAGCTCCCCGTCTGCCTCCTGGGCGCTGAACACCGCCCCACAGTACTCGATCAGCAGCTCGGTGAACAGGTTCACTGGCACCAGGGCACTCAGGGTGGACGCCCCCTGGGACGGCCAGATTAGATTCAGCCCGAAGACACAGGCCAGGTTGGAGCTGTTCATTTTGTTAAAAATGCTCTCCCGGGACACCTGGAGGAGAGCGTGCATGAGACAAGGCGGTGACTTGTGGGCTCTCCGCAGTGGGAAGGGCACTGGGCGGAAGTCACCCATCCTGGGCTGTGACCTTATGTAACCACGTCCTGCTCTGGGTCTGTTTCCCCATCTGTGAAAACGACTGACCTTGACACCCTGAGGCCCTCCTGCTTTGACCGGCTATGAGTTCCTTCTGGGACCCCCTCCACACCCCAGTCTCCTCTTCCACTTGAGAGGGCTTGGGAGGCCCCCTCTGGGTGGGGCTCTAGGACAGTGCACGTGAGCATGGCTGCAGCGTCCCCCAGCGGACCGCCTCTCTCACCTCCGCTCTGGCTGGTTAGGCTGCACAGTGAAGACCGGCCGGCACGCAGGGGTCATTGGAGGACTGAGGGAGGGCGTAACTAGCCTGCCTCCCCAGGAGGGTGGCCCGCCTGCCTCCGCCAACACCTCCAGCAGCCCAAGAAGTGGGACGAACCACTCCCGCTTTACAGATGAGAAAACTGAGGCCCAGGAGGTACAGGGGATTTGCCCGAGGTCACAGGTCCAGTCGGTGGGAGTAGGGCCACTTGGGGCCATCTGAGGGCAAGGCCTGATCTTTTCTCCTCACCTCCCATGTCCCAGGGACCTCCAACAATCTGGGGGGACAGGGCAGGGAGAGTGCAGAGTCTCAGGGGTCACGAGTGAGCAGAGAACTGGAGAGGAGTGACCGGTGACCCATGACCCCACAGGTCAGTGAGGATGACCAGATGCCAAGCCCTGCCTCAGTGACACAGCCGGTCCCCCTCCCAGTCACCCCCACTGCAAGCCCCACCCCCAAGCCTCCTCCCAGTGCACACCGGCCCAGTGAGCCACTGAGGCGCCCGTGCTGCTGGGCCGACACCGTGCGGGCGCGGCTCTGCCTGGAGGCCCCTCCCCTGGACTGCCATGAGAGCCTCACGCCACCACTGTGGAGCTGGGCTCGCGCAGACCCTGGAGGAGACCATCATGGTGCCACAGCACGGTGGGCACTCGGCTCGGGGTCTGCACCCCAAAGCTGGCAGTCCCACAGCCAGGCATTGCTTCCTTAAGCCTGCACCCCTTACTCCACCACAATAACCGGAAAGGTGAGGCGTTCCAGAAAGGGTCACATGCAGAGGACGCTGGGTCTGGAGGCAAGGTGGGGGGGCCACTCGGATCTGCTGAAGTTTTCTCTCTGTACCTCACAGGCTGCTGCTCGCCACCCCAGGCCGGGGAGCTAGGCCTGGACCCAGAGCCACGGAAGGTGTTTCTCTCCCCATGCATTTTCTTATCCTGGGGTAGGGCGGCCCCACAGGAGAGACATCCACCTGGAACCTGTGCATGTGACCTTTCCTGGGAAAAGGGTCTTTGCAGGTGTAATTAAGTTAAGGTGCTCAAGGGGAGATCGTCTTGGATTGTCCAGGTGGACCCTAATCTAATGACAGGCACCCTGACAGGAGAAAAGGCAGGGGGGATTTGAGAGACACACAGAGGGGAGAAGGCCACATGGAAATGCAGGCAGGAGGGACGCAGCCACAAGCCAAGGGACACCTAGAGCCCCAGGCGCTGCAGGAGGCAGGAAGGAACTCCCCCCAGAGCCTCAGAGGGACTGCGGCCCTGCCGACCACTTGGTTCTGGACTTCGGCCTCCAGAACTGCGAGAATAAACTCCTAGTGTTTTAAGCCGCCCAGTGCGTGGTGTTACGGCAGCCCCAGGACACTGACAGACCCCGTGACATGTCCCCCTCCCGGGACACTGCAGGCCTGAGTGTCAGGCTTGGCGCCCTGGCCTGGGCACGTAGCCCCGTCCTCCAGTCTCAGCCCATGCAGATGACTCGGGAGCAGGGGAACCCGATACACAAGGTCCCAGGAGATAACCAAGGGCAGCCAGGCCCAGGCCCGGGTATGGGAGCAGCAGGGTGGGCACGGGAGTCCCTGCCTGGCATCTGGGGGTAACTCTCAGCAGAGTAGCTACCCGAGCAGGCCTTGGAATGCAGTCCTGTGGGCAAGAGTGGCTTCCCGCCGAGGGAGGGCATGACCCCAGACCCTGGCCTGTGCGGGCAGCACGCGGAGGGGCAGACCGCCGGGGCCAGCCATGGAACTGGGTCCCCACAGTGGCCCTGCCTTACCCCCTCACCTCATGCAGGAAGTCCACGAGGTAGCTGAGGACAGCATAGTTGTGTTCCGGAAGGCTCTGCAGGATCTGGCGGCAGTGGGTCACGCGCAGGCTGCTCTCCACACCTGCAGCAGCACGAGGGCCCGTCTTGAACTGGCTCCGTCCCCAGCGGAGGGCGCAGGCAGAGAGAGGAGCGCAGCTCTGAGGACCCTGTCCACGGTCGGGCCTCGGGCCCCCACTCACAGCCCAGCCGTGTGGCTGTTCTCCACAAACTGCTCTTCTGCGAGCTCTGTTCCCTTTCTTACAACAGGACCGTAATTATTACCTCCCAGAAAGCCACCTCATTTTGTTGTCAATGCAGCCGTTCTGGCAGAGCCACACACATCAGTGACACACCATTTATGGCTACTTTTACACCGTAATGGCTGAACGGAGTAGTAGCGGAGATTAACCCACAAAGCCTGAAGTATCTACGATCTGGCCCTTTTACAGAAAAAGTTTGCCAACCCGGCTCTAGCCGTACTTAACCTATTGATGATTCCCAGCAGCTCAGGTCCCCACACCCCAGCAGGGACCTGGTGTAGCCCAGACTCTGAGACCCCCAGTTCCCTCATAACTGCCTCCTCCACCAAGTTCCATAAACTTCAAGACAAAACATATCGATTATTCAAGGAGGCACCACGCCCTGGCTGGTGATGCACACGCACACATGCGCACACACGCGCACACACCCTCACCCCAACACTCCAGCACGCTCACCTCCTCCCACTGAACCGTGGGCAGGGCGACCGTGGACACAGCCACTGCTGGAAGACATGAAACTCCCTACTGCCAAGGACCTTGTTGGCTTTTTAATCAAAGCCATTCTTCCATGAACTCAGGCTGCTGTTGGAGTATTTTAGTGGCCAAGGAATTCCTGCAGAATTAGTATTTCTGGAGACCCAGTGAGCTTTCCCTCAGCTTTCTAGGCTCCACCTCTGCTTCCTAAGAATCACGGTCCCAGAGCAGATTCTGGCACAGGGCCACCACTGGCTCTCTCCCTGGTCCCTTTCAGGAAAGAGCACTCCTGGCCAGCTGCAGGGACCAGGTCGTTGGCACAAAGCCACCGTGTAAGAGCACTTACCACCTGCCAGGAACCATGCCAAGCATCTTATGTACATTTAACCCTCAAAGCACTCCCAATTTTACATAGATCAGAAAAGTGAGCTCAGAGAGGGTAAGTGGCTTGCCCAGTGCAGACTTGAATCCAGATCTGTTCAGCTTGGAGCCAGCACTCTTACCCCCCCTGCTATGGACCAGGTGCTTGTCCCAGGAGCAGTTTCCTCTTTCCCTGGACACCACAGGCCCCCTGGAAAGCCCACTTCCTCCAGGGTGTTCCCTGGAAGGGCTTGCTTTTTGCATCACTTCAGGGAGAAGCAATCCCACCTGAGTGGAGTTGCCAGGTAAAATAGAGGACACCCAGTTGCATGTAAATTCCAGATAAACAGCAAATATTTTTTAGTATAGCTATGGCCCCTGCAATGCTTGGAACATATTTATACTAAAAGAGAACTCGTTATTCATCTCAAATTCAAATTTACCTGGACATCCTGTATTTTTCTTTGCTGAATTTGGCATCCCTTTGCTAAGTCACGATTCAACCAGGCTGAGTTGTCAGACTGTCCCCCAGAAGACAGTACTGAATCTAGGGTGACATTTTGGTTCACAGTAACTGGAATTTCAGAACTATCTGAGTCTTAAAGTTGGCAGGAAGCAAAACAATAAATAGCCCCAAATGCTTACCCACAAAATAATAAAGATGATGGAATGCCATGCAGCTATTAAACAGCATGCAGATATGCATGTGAAGAGGAAAGAACTAAAAGATGTGTAATGCTTTTTAAAAAACAACAACAGAAAAGCAATACTCAAGAGTGTATGAGGAGCATTCGTGGAAAGAACCAAACACACACAGAACCTTCCAGGTCACCGTAGGTGTGGGCCTAAAGGTGCTGACAGGGGACTCCCACTTCACAAAATCCTTTGTGTTCTTCAATTGTTTTTCTTATTCCTTTTTCCTCTTCTTTCTTTTTTTCTTGACTATGTGTTTGTGTTTTTCCCATAAATAATTTTTAAAAATTCTCAGTGTCTGCCCCAGGCCAGCCCCATTGGTACAAAAAGGCCACAGATTGAGCTGTACCCCAAGACTTGGGCTTTTCACAGCCAGATCTTTACCTACAGCTTGTGCTTCAACACCCCCTAGCTCAGCATCCTGTGGGTAAAACCCTAACCCCCAGCACCCCCAAAACCTTCAGATATGTGGATTCTTGGGCCACCGCCCAGACCTACTGAGTCAGAAACTCCAAGGTGGGGCCCAGAGATGTGTGCTTTAACACGCCCCCTGAGGGTTCCAAAGCTTGGGAAAGTTTGGGAACCTCTGCCACCAGCCAGCCTCTTCACTGCCCAGCCCCCGGCTCAGCCACACCAGCAAGCCTTTGTTTTCGCGCTTCCTCCTGCCCAGGATGCCTCTGCATTCCTTCTGGTTAACACCTGTGCCCACTTCCAGACACTGCAGCCATTTCATTCTGTCACGCATGGCGCAAACACGAGCCCGCCCTGCAGCTCGCCTGGGCACTCCTTGCGGGAGGGCCTGCGTGTCTGCCTGCCTTGAACCGCCACTGCCCAGCACAGGACCTGGCATGTAGGTGCCCGTGTCACAGATAAACAAAGCCGGACACCAGTCGAAGTGGTAAGGATAGACTTTGTGCAGTAGTAACTGTAACAGGAGGGAAGAACCCAGCCTGGACTGAATCCACTCCGACTGGAAGTGACGGGGCCTTTTAAAGGGGGACTGGGGAGGGGCACCGGCAGGGGCCGGGCAGTCAGGGAGGTGAACATTTACAAAGAACAGGAAGGGGGCTTGGTTAAAGTGACAAGGCCAGCTGGTCTGTTGATGGCCTGGTGTCCTTATGACAGGAGGCAGGGGGCACATGTATTAGACCCTTACCCCCCTCCCCCACAGGCACTGGGATCCCTTGAATGTCTGCTTTTCAAAGAGACTCTTGGGTCCCTGAGCAGACAGTTCTGGGCACAGAGGGCCACATCCCTCAGGGGCTGAGAGGATTTGCAACTGCGAGCTTTCTAGAGTACCTGCTCTAACAGGGGGTTTGGGCCCCTCGGCTGTCCCCCAGGTTTGGCTGAAGAAACAGTAAATCCCTCCTGCCTCCGCCCCCTTTCCCAATGAGGAAGTGAGGTGGTGGCTCCCCCAGAGCAGCACGGCAACGGGGAGAGGCAGCTCTCTGAACAGGGTGACATGCCCCAAATCTAGAGATTCCTGCTGCCACCCTCTCGGCCAGCTGCATCTGATGACCTCTACCCCACCCTGGACAGTGGTGGCCTGAGGCCAGCAGGGTCCAGGCAGGGGCAACCCCCTCTCCTGCCACAGTGCCAGATGGCAACAGGAGGGGATCTGGCAGCCCCTGCCCAGCGGCCAGCACCCCTCGGCCAGGTACGTACTGGTGATGCTGAGAATATGCTCGTAGGCCCTGAAGGTCAGCAGCGGCTGGGGCAGCTCCCGCAGGAAGGTCTTCAGGATCACGGCAGGGATGTGAATGTCCCCATAGTCGTCGAAGTTCACGGGCTTCCCTGCACACACACAGTCATGCATCTGAGTGCTGACTCTGGGCTGGGGATTCTTGCTTCGAAATGGGCCCTGACACGAAATGGCTTTAAAACTCCTGACGGAAGAGGCTTATTCTGGAGCCACATGTCCGGGTGTGACTCTGTCCCTCCCGCAATGGGGTGTCTCTCTCTCCAGGGCACCTGGGGGAGGCCGGGGCGTGCTACAGACTTCTCTGCTGTGTGGTTTGGCCCTGCCTAGGATGGGAGCGCTCTGAGGACAGGGACCTGGTTCTGGGCTGCAGTGCTGGCACACAGGGCTGGGTGGGGCCAGCCCCAAGTGCCCGGCACAGGCCCTGCTGCTGGCTGAGTGAGCATGTGGCCGTGGGAATGACCAGGGCATGTGGGTGTGGAGAAGAAGCCTTGCAAGTGGCTTAACTGCCTCATTGGTGTCACTGTCATGGCTCAGCTCCCACGCGGCTCTTCACCTGCAAGCTTACATACACGGGCCGCTGAGGAAGCAGGGCTAATCCGGGGGGAAGAGCCGCCTGACAGATACCACAGAACAATTCCTTACATCCCAGGCCACCGTGTGCCTGGTTTATGTGGAGGCGGAATGGTTTCGTGTGGCCAGCCTGCCCTGGGAGGCTGTGTCTGGACACAGGACTCACCCGGGCAGCTGCCCCTGGCGGGGGCCAGGAAATCACACCACCTCAGATTTCAGGGGGGCTCCAGGTGCAGGGTCTCTAGGGAATTGACTCACCTTGGTTGTAGAGCCGCTGGATCTCTCGGACGGTGTGGACACTGGCAGACCTCCGGAACAGGCCCTCAGCATGGAGTCCTACAGGGAGAGAGCCTCCAGGCATCTCACAGGTCCCAGTACACCAGGTTTCCAGAATGTTCCATGGTTCCCCTGCCTGCACATCACCCTCCTGCGGCTTGTAGGAAATGCATTCCAGCCTGGTTTGGTTCCCCCTCCCTACTAGCCTTACCTTTATTTATTCCAATCAAATCAAACTGGTCCACATTCCCCAGTCCCACCTGATCACCCACCTTCGTGGCTCCCAGGAAGGGGGACTGTAAAAGCCAGACGGACCTGGGGTCCTGTCCAACTCTGTCTTGTCCAGCTGTGTGAGCTCACAGGGAGCACTTAGCCTCTCTGAGCCCAGCCACGTCACCTACAGACCACGGCCACAAGCCGCTGCCTCCGAGGGCTGCAGAAGGCATCAGCAGGACAATGCGTGGCACGTGCCCGGCACCCAGGGGGGCCTCCAAACGTGCTGCCTCCCTTTCTTCCCACAAATGCCAAGAGCTGACCTGTCCAACATGGTAGCCGCTAGCTGCACAGGGTGACTTAAATTTAATGAATTACACTTAAATGATATTAGAAGTCCAGTCACCCAACACATGAGCCACATGTTAAGTGCTCTATTGGGCTGCTGACACTAGTGGCTGGAGCCTACCCTTTGGGACAGCGAGATACAGAAAATTTCCACGTCCTACGGGACCGCGCTGGGCCCTCCATGCCCTCCCTCCGCCCCTCCCCAGTCTCTCCTCCACTCGGAAGCTGAGAGCTATTCAACACAGATGCCCACGTCCGATCAGGCCCTGCAGGGAGCCCTCTCATCACCACCAGTCACAGGATAGCTTCCCTTGGAGCCTTACCACGGCCCGGCATGGCCAGGCCACTGCTGCCCACCTTTCCTGCCCCACTGCCCTCTAGCCCCTTCCGCCAGCCTCCAGACTGCCCCATACTCCTTACAATGCCCAGCCTTCGCATACGTGTTCCCTCTGCCTGAGTGACTAGTACAACAGACAGAATTCTGAGATGGCCCCCAGATTCCTGGAGCCTGGGGTACACACACCTTCTCCCAGGTATTCAGCCAAACCCTAATCCAGGGGGCACGGCGAAGGAACTCTGCGGTTGGACTTCAGGTCCGAGGCTGCTGACCTTACAATAGTGGCGATTATCTGGGGTGGGTCTGACCTGGGCAGGCAAGCTTTCAAAAGGGACCAGGTTTTCCCTGGCAATAGAGATGTGGAGCACAAGGGCAGGGATTCGGTGCGTGGGAAGGTCTCCACTGGCGGAGGCCCGCGTGGCAAGGAAAGCAGGCAGCCTCTAGGAACAGAAAGAGGCCCGACAGCCAGCAAGGAAACACCTCAGAACCACAACTGCAAAGAGCTGAATCTGGCTGATGATCTGAGTGGGCAAACGGCCTTCCCCAGAGCCTCCAGGGAGGAACACAGCCCGGCCAACACCTTGAGCTTAGCCTTTTGAGATGCTGAGCGGAGACCCCAGTCCCAGTGTGCCCAGCCTTCTGACCTACAGAAGCCATAAAATAATAAACGCAGCTGTGTGAAGCCGCCAAAGTTGTGATGATTTGCCAGGCAGCACGGGAGACTGACACAGGGCCTCCCGCCAAGTGCGCAAGCTCAGGCCTCCCTCATCTCCATGACCAGCTCATCCCAGTCCATGGAGTCTGTGGTTGTCATAGTTACAGTTTTATGGAGGAAAAGGTAATGAAGAGAACCTCTTGGTACTAAATGGTGAGCTCCCAGAAGGCAGAGGCCGTGCACCGTGGTCACCGTGGCAGCCCCAGGGCCAAGACCAGGGCCGGATCCAGGCAGGTGCCCAGTGAGTAAACGCTTACTTCACACACTCGTTCAACAAATACATACTGAGTTCTCACCGTGGGCTGTTTTCTGTTTTGTTTTGGGGTTTTTTTTTTGCTTTACTTTTTAATAAAGGAACTAATATATTAAAAGAGAGAGACTGGCTTTCACAGTTTCTGACTTGGGTCTTTATGCACTATCTTTTGTCTGTTCCTGAAATGAATAACAGAATGGAAAGTACTACAAATGACTTCAAGCCAAAGCAGAGACAGTTCCCACCGACAAGCAGATCCTCCAGCTAGTGGCCTTGTCTCACGGAGCTCTTCACGACCAGAACGTGCAGTTCCTGGGGCTCGCCGGGTCACGTGCCGCCGACGCCACCCTTAGCGCTGCTGCGCCCGCTCCTCCCCGGCAGCTGTTCCTCCCGTTAGGTTAAAAGCAGCCCCACATGCCTTCCCTGTGGGTCTGCGCTCTGGCCCAGGAGCCTTGCAGGAGCCATTAACGCTCACTCCCTGCAGGGCACTGAGCACCCCCACCCACTGGCAGGGCATCTGCCGACCAAGCTCATCTATCATGTCAAATGGGTCCCTTTATGGAGGGCTTTACCTGGGTCACTTCACTCAGGCCTCACAACAACCTGTGAATCAGGTAGTTATTACCCCACTGGATGGAAGAGGAAACCGAGGGCCAGAGAAGGTAAGTAACTGGCCCAAGGTCACACAGCTAGTGCACAGCAGGGCCAGGAGTTGGACCCAGAGCCCACAGCTGCAGTCACTGAGCCCATCCCACTCCGGTCACCCTCCGTGCACAGGTTCCAGCTCCCCCAGTTCCCTGGCCTGTGGGGTGCTCAGGGACCAGGACGGGCCCCCAGGGAGGTGCCTTGGCTGGAGCCAGCTCTCACCTTTCTCTCGCAGGTACGTCACTGTGAACCTCAGCACAGGGGGGATGAGCTCACCTTGATTTTTGTCTTTGAGGCTGATGGGAGAGAAAAGAGAGCAGCTGTTCTTACTGGGCGGGATCGGGGATGACGAGCACAGGCTCCGGTCCTCGCCACACCCCCACAGGAACACAGGACGGAGAAGCGGTACAGGGGAGGAGGGGGGCAGCCTCGGCCCCCAGGAAGTAGGTGGTCCAGTGGCCATGAGAGGCGGGAACGGGCGCAGTGCTAGTGCAGCGGCTGAGGGCGCCACCAGAGGGATGCCCATGATACTGGGAGGGACTGGGGGGTCGGGGAGGGCTTCAAACGGGGCAACTTCTGAGCTGGGGTTTGAGGGATGAATAGGAGTCTGCAGGGGAAAAAAGAGGGAAAGGCATTTCAGAGGGAAACACACACACACAGGGGAAGGCCTGGAGGTATGATAAGATTGGGACATGAGGGCAGATCCAGGCCTGGACTGCATGCTGGTCAATCACAACAGGCTGCCTCACAGAGGCTGTCAGCACTCTTACTGTGCTAATCTGATGCAGAAATTCACATAAGGGAACTTTAAAACATATACGCAAATACAAAAGGCTGGCCCTCCCAGCCACACACACATGTGCACACACCTCCCCCGGGCTGGCAGTCGGGATCTCAAGCCGGAGACCCCTGAGTCATCTGCTGCCAGCACGGGGCTCCCACTAACTGTGTTTGCTTTCTCTTTCCTCATCTGCTGAATTTTCTTGCCCCTAAGGCGGCATTTTGGGGAGACTGCCAGACTGAGGGAAAAGGGCTCATAAGTCAGACCTACCTGGCCGGGATCCTGCTCTGCCACTTCTTAGCTGTTCGGCGGTAAACGTGTTCTCTAAATGGCAGGTTAACGTGCTCGACAATGTTCAGGTTTTCTGGACTGCTGCTTTTATCTCCTTGTTCCATCAGTCATTTAGGGAAGGGCATTTACACCTCCTGTTAGAACTGTGTACCTGTTTCTCTCTTCTGTTCTACCATTTTTGCTTCATGTATTTTAAAGCTGTTACCAGTCCATACATTTTTAGGATTATCATGTCTTCTTGATCATTATGAAATGTCCTTCTGGGTCCCCGGGCTTATTCCCTGTTCGGAAGTCTACTCTGTCTGATGCTGACAACCCTCCAACTCTCATTTGGTTGCTGGCTGCATGGCGTCTCTCTCGCCATCTTTTACTCTAGTCTTTAAACCTTTTATATTTTAAACACCAGTCAGCTCCTCCTTTTTAAAATCCCATCTGAGAATCTGCCTTTTAATGGGAATACTTATGCTACTTACACTGACCATCTTGCTACTGGTTCTTTGCTTGATCTTTTCTTGACTTTGTTTTGCTAAGTGAGTATTTTTAGAATTCCATTTTATCCCCCCTTTAATATATTAGTCCTCTCTCTTTATGGTGGCTCTTGCGTTAACACATATTTACTGTAGTACAATCTACCTCCAAATAGTATCACTTTACTTAGAGCCGAAGAAGCTCCCGTCCCCTGACCACATCCTTTGTGTTGCTAATGTCAAAGCCCTTCCAGTCCTCTAGTGTGTTATAAACCCCACCCTACTTTGTTATTTTTCATTGTTGTTTCAAAGATATTGTTAACATGAAGAAATTAATTAATTTTCTATTTACTCATATTTCTACTATTTCCACTACTCTTCATTCCTTTGCAGGGATCCGAACTCCCATTTGGCATTATTTGTCTTCTGGAAATTTCCCAACATTGCTTATAGCGTAGGTGTGCTGGAAATAAATTCTCTCAGTTTTGGTTCATCTTAAAAGTGTTTTACTTTCTATTCATTTCTGAAAGACTTTTGCTGGGTGCTTAATTTTGATCATCTTTTTCCTTAAAAAGATGAAAGCTTTAAAATTTGAAACACTGCTGACTTATATCTGGCTTTCACCTTTTTTTCCCCTGGATGCTTTTAAGATTTTCTCCGTCACTGGTTTTAGGCAATTTGACTATGATGTGCCTTGGTGTGTTTTTTTTTTCACACTCTTATGCTTTGTGGTTCACTGAGCTCCTTGGACCTCTGGGCTTATAGTTGTTCTCAAACTGAGTAAAAATGTGGCCATTGTTGCCTTCAAATATTTGTCTGGCTTTGTCTATCTGGGACTCCAATTATACATATGCTAGACTGCGATCTTCATATTATGCCACAGACTGGTCTTTTCCTTTGTGCTTCGCTCTGGATCATTTCTATGGCTGTATCTTCAAGTTCACTAATCTCTTCTTCCACCGCGCTTCATCTGTTCACCTCATCTGTGTATTTTTCATATTAGAAATTGTATTTTTCACCTCTAGAAGTTCCACTTGAATTCTTTTAAAAATATCTCTTCACTGTGTTCATATTTTCTTCTACCTTCTTGAACCTATGGACCATATTTGTAATAGCTGTTTTAATATTCTTGTCTGCTGATTTATTCATCTCTGTCATTTCCGGATGTGATGGTTAGCTTTATATGTCAACTGAGCCACAGGGTGACCACCTATTTGGTTAAACATTATTCTGGGAGTGTCTGTGAGAGTAGTTTTGGATGAGATTAGCATTGGAATGCGCAGACTGAGTCAAACAGAGCGCCCCACCTAATGCACAAGACCTCATCCAATCTGCTGAAGGCCTGATTAGAAAAAAAAGGCCCAGTAAGGGAGAATTCGCTCTCTGCCTGATTGCCTCTGAGCCGGGACTCAGTCTCCTGCCTGGGACTCTGACTCAGACCGGAACACACACCATCGGCTCCTCCGGGTCTCCAGCTTGCTGGCTGTAGATCTTGGGACTTGTCAGCCTCTGTGACCATGGGAGCCAATTCTTTATAATAAATACCCTGTTGTTCCGTTTCTCTAGGGAAACTGTGTCTGCTTCTATTGACTGGTTTTTCTTCTTACGGTACCTTCCCCTGCTTCCGGGCCTGCCTTGTAATTTCCCTTTGGGAATTTTGTATTGCTGGTTGCTGGCTTTCCTGTATTCCTTTGAATGGAGAGGTACTTTGTTCTGTCTTTCATTAAGTCATTTGGGAACAGCTGGATCTTTTCAAAGACGGCTTTCAGTTTTGTTAGGGAGGGTCCAGAGCGGCAACACTAGGCCTTTGAGTGGCCTGATCTGGCTGGTGAGCTGGGTTTCTGGGTGACTTCTCCTCTGCTGAAGCTCTGGGTCTGAGACATGGAACAACAGTCCAGGTGGCCAAGGGGACCTGAGGACCATCACTGCCTTTGTGGGGTCGTTCTGTCCCAGGAGTGTGGGTTGGACCCTCCCCCTCCCCTTCCTTGACTCGGTTCCCCATGTGCCCCTCTGTGAGGGAGGAGGTGGCCGGCGGCCCAGGGGCCTCCAGGCATCCCTCCTCCGCATCCCTGGGGGAGGACATAGCAGACAGGCCCTTCTCCCCAGGATGCTCCAAAGCTGCAGGCTCTTTTCATTATCCCTACTTCCTCTGGGGGCCAAACAGACTGGTACAAGTCCTAGCCCTGCACTTGGAGGGAGGCCAGTCTCTTAGCCTCCCAGCCTCAGCTTCCTCACATGAAAATCAGAGATGCTGGCAACCTCCCTCCAAGGAGCTGCAAATCTTAAACACTAAAGGATGTAAAGGGCTTTATTACATTAAGTCTAAGGTATTAAGTCTAAGGTAATGGCAATTAAAATAATTGGAATGTCAGGGGCTGAGTAACTTCCCAAGCCAGGCAGGATGGCCCATTTCACATGAAGAAACGGGCCCAGCACACTGCAGTACCTTGCCCGGGTCACACAGCTAGAGAACCTGGGTCTGTTGACCCCAAAGCCTGGGCTAGTCACCACTCTGGGATGGGGCCCCACTGAAACCTACCGAGCAGGCCAGACACCAGTGAGCCACAACTACAATGAGCTACTATAAGATCCCTCTGCTACGACTGAGCCCACATTTTGTGTTTTAAAGGCAGACTTCCAGGAGCCTGTAAGATCATGAGGAACTGAGGTCCCAGACGGGGAGGGATGAGCCCCGAGTCACAGGGCTCCCAGCCGAGTATGATGTCCCCGCCTGTGCATTTAAGATCTGCAATCCAGCCGGAGCCTCTCTCAGCTAACTGCAGAACAACGTCCCTGGCATTCAATTACTACTCTTGATAGAGCAGAAACCCACAGTTCGGATTTCTCCTCCCCATCCCACCCCCTACTTGCTGGCCTGGAAAGGGGTTGCTCAGTGGACCGAGAGCCGCAGTGCAGAGAATGACAATTGCCCCCAGCAACTGGATAAAAGATGTGGTGTGCTTCCTGGCTGGGTGGGAATGCCTGGGGCAGCATGAATCCTATCACACCAGGTCCCTCCCCATGCATGTCCACGTCTGTGGGCCAGGAACTCCGCAATGATGCGTGGACTGTGTTACACCCATACCCTGAACTGAAGTGCATACCGGCAGGCGGCTCTCAGAGGCCGAGAACAATTCACCAGCCAGCACAGTGCACTCTTGCCCAGCCATCCACCCCCGCAGAGGGCAGTGGGAATTCTCAGCACATAACTCTTGCTTGTAGCCCTTCCCCTTCAGAGACGTGCTTACAGTAATTCAGAGCATGTTCTTTTCCTAGTTTTGCATGCAAAGAATGCACAAATAAGGAGTGGCTGTAGCTTTTCAGAAACAAACAGTGGGGCCAAGGAGGGAGGACCACCGCCCTGAGCTGCAGCGGTAATAGGAGTGAAGTGTGGAGCAGGCCTGCCTTGCTAGGCACCAGGCTTTTCCCAGCCCTGTGAGATGGTTATTTGTCTCACATCACCTCCTAATTTCTGAAACAGGATGGCTGGCTGCAGCTCACATCACTGACATGCAAAGGTCTCAGCCACCAAGTCAGCCAGGAGGTCCAGGCCACCAAGAGAACTGGGCACATGAACATCACAGGAGCCACTGTATATTGGGGGCCTACTGTGTGCCGGGCAAGCTGCTAAGCCCATTGGCTGCACCACTGTGTCCCTGTTTTCAGAGAGGACAAAATTCAACTCAGAGAGGCGAATTACTTTATCTGAAGTCATGCAGCTGAGGATTCAAATCAAAATCTGACTCCCATGTCCTTG